TTTGGGTATAGTTGTAGGACTAGTACCAATAAATGGAGCAAGTTTCATGTATGTGACACGTGTATTGTCAGAGATAGCAAGGGGTGCATATCGTGGCAACCAGGCTGTTCATAAAAAGCACCACCCAAAATAAAAAAGATTATATTAATCTCACCCTCAAGCACTTGATGTAAAAATAAACAATACATTGTAAAGCACAAGTACAAGCACAAGTATACAGACAGGACGTCACAATTAAATAAAAACATATATTAAATAAAAAATTAGCTGAAAAATAAGTGACGAATGAATGCAAAATCCAGGATTCGACAACCCAACCATCAAAAAGACAACATATGTATACCAGAATATGTTTCTCTGTTGTCCACGTTCATAAAGCATAAAACAACAGCATCAGAGCACGGTGCAGTCTCGAGATGAGTTTACAGTAGTCCCTCGTTCTTATTAAACATCCATGTTGTAGTCTGCTGTATAGAAAACTTTAGTTTCCATAGTTTCCCTACAGCAGCAGACGCACATTAATGACGTCCGCTGGCACATCATAAACACGTTGGATAGTGAAAGTGCACTCGGATTCTCTAAAGTACCGCAGTCTCTTCTCCTAAGTCCTTTTGAATTCTCCTATCCACTATCCCTTAACGCCGTGACGTTTCACTCAGAGGTCAAGGAATAGGAGACGCAACCTAAGACTCTAAGTGAACGGTGACTGTAAAAACTACACTGCGCATGCTCAGAGTATTGTCCTATTTAATTTGTGTGACAAAAAAATAATGACCATAGGGGCACTGAGCTGCCCATCCCCACCATATGTCATCTCACATAATTCAGAGCTGATTAGCTGTGTTGCGAAAAGTGTGGTGTGTGTGAAGAGGAGAGGAGAGAGATGCAGTGACGCGTCCTAAAACCCGGAAGTAAGCTGCGCATGGCGTCCCTCGACAAAAAAGCAATGAGATTTCTCCATAGGATTTTAGAAAATAGCTCAAAATAAGATCTGTGGGAAACGTCGGATAATATCCACATGTCGACCCTACTTTTATAATTTTCGAATCATAAATCTATCAATTAGATTTGATAGACTTTTGAAACTACAAGAAGATAAGGAGGACTTTTACAAAAAAGTAATAGAGATTTTTGTCCAGAAGGATAGGCAAATGGACTTCATCTTCAAGTCAAGGTAAGACCACAATTTTATAACAATTCAATATTTAAATGATCAAATAAAAAATTGTGGGTATCCTTTTGTTGAACTGTCTGTTTAAAATTATCGAAGCATCAGACGAAAACATCTTTTGAAAATAATATTATATTTTGATTAAAGGTCAAAATATATAATTTGTAAACCTGAAGAGTCATTGCCAGTGCCTCACCAGCCATGAATCTCACTGCACGTCACTGCAGAAGCTTATATAGACATCTACTTTTTTTGTGCCCCACCACTTTTGTACATATAAAAATGCCACTGATGATATATTATCATTATGTCAGTGGTCTAAAATGGTCATGCAACGGTGTCGACAATATTATCGTTTATCGCAATCATTTCCTGGAAAATGTATCCAACAAAATTAATTATCGTGAGAGGCTTATACATGACCCACAGATTAATACACTCTCACTCCCATATACTCTTTGACTCTATTTTGGCCTAGTAGAACTGACAATAAGCAGCAGACTTTTACTTTTGCATCATTTCTACTGGATCTCTTCGCATGTCGTAATACGGGTCGGGGATTGACCAACCGGCTCCCACTGCTCTGCTGTCTGTTAACGTTGTTAAGAGTGGTGGGGGCGGGGAGGGAGTGGATCGACAGCTTGAGCAGCTGTCAACTCAACATAGTAAATAACCAACCAAAAACGACCGCTGGTTCATCTTGTATTTGGCGTGAGAATAGTTTGGGCAGCGTGAGAGCGTGGGATATTGAGAGTGAAAGCATGTGTCACACGCCAGATGCATGAGAGTTGGCAACCCATGTCCAGCGTCTAAATGAGCAAAAACTAATGTTTGTGTGACGCGCCCACTTTCCAAACTCACCACGCATCCAACCCCACCACATCATCCGGCCCCTCACCGCTCTCTCCCCGCCCCCCTGCCCACGACTGCTCGCCCCGGTACTGTAGTGTCCGTGTGTGCACAGCGGGGGAGTCGTGGGGAGGTCTCTCGGTACTTTCTCCTCCATCTCCTCAACCCCTATCTGTTTCTTTCTCTCTCCCAGAAACAAAACACTAAACATGGGTCTCGTGGGTCTCTGTTCAGCGTTTCTTCTGCTCTCCCTGGTCGCTCTCTGCTCCGCCGCGGGTTCGGACGCCCCCCGAGGAGTCGCGGTCGGGTTCGTTTTTGACCCAAAAGCGAAATGCGAACCGCCGTGCAAACACGGAGGCGTCTGCATCCGCAACAACACATGCTTCTGCTCCAAGGGCTATGAAGGAGAGACCTGCCAGTATGGTGATGTTACAAACTTTTATTTTTGTTTTTTACCTGCATGTATGTTCTCTTATTAGAAAAGTGTCAGTATAATATACAATAGCCTACATGTTTTATATAGCTATGTTCCTCCTCTAGTAGAAGAAATACGTTTTTTCAAGTGTCATGCTCTTAAATTTACAAACATAATGCATTTTATAAGACTGTAATGTAACTAAACTGCAGATTATTTTAGGTTTCTGTCAGGATACTGAATGTAGCCCTATATTGAGTTTAAGAATCTTGATTTCCAAATCACCAAAAGAGAGCATATGGTATACCTCTTCATCATAATGACTTATTCTACTTTTACAATATTTAAGATTCACACTTTGAGTGTTAATGTCAACATTTTGTGTCAATGCAGCCAATTGTTATCCCAAATGTAAGAATGGGGGAACGTGTCTTCGTCCTGGAAAATGCAGATGTCCTCCAGCATATGGAGGACGATACTGTCACAAAGGTAAGGGTTTGTTTGCAGTTATTTGTAATTTAAATATCTTGTTGGTTCAACAATTGTTTGGAAGTTGTTAAGTTCGTGTCTATTTTTTATTTCATTGTCAAGATTATTCTTAATGCATTTTGTTCTGCATCAATCCTGTAGCAACTGGTACTGTAAGGGTTAGAAGATAAATCTGTTGGCTTGCAAGACAAATACCAGGACAGGGGGAATTTAGGAATGTGACTAAGTTAAATATTTCTAAAATAAGTGTTGACAAAATACTTAAGTACAGGACAGTGAAACTATCATCCAGCTTATCACAGTGATCTGTGTCTCTTTCCACAGTGACGTGTGAAGACGGCTGCTGGAATGGAGGGGAATGCAACGCTGTTAACGGAGTGGCCAAGTGTATCTGCCCCTCGAGCTGGACCGGCTCAAAATGCCAAGATGGTCTGTACATTCTATGATCGTATCTAATTACCCTGTTGACACCAAAGGTCAAAGTCACCAAATGGAGCTGGTCTCTCAGCAGGAGCTATTCATCCTCAGCAGCACACTAAAACATTTTAAATACTTATGGTATTGGTTCCAAGTTGCTTTCAGAATGGAAACCAGCTATTCATAGCTCAGTTGTTATGAATTACATTTAAATGTATGATGTGTGAATAATGGATGAAACATTTGTATTGGCAGTAAAGTGCAGCTCAAGTTGCGCATAGCAGAAATGTCCAACAATGGTATTGGTTGAGATTAACTTAATAAAGCTAAGAAGCAAATTGGTTCCTTTTCCTATTTACCTCATATGTTTTTGCTATAAAGATAACATAGTCTTCACATGTTGGGATATATGACTAATCCCTGTCTTGCTAAGAATTAAATTAGATGTGCGTTACTTGTTAACTTAACATAAAACATGGACATGGGGGTAACGGCTACGCTGGCTAAGAAATATACCAACACACAATTTGTCAAACCGCAACATATTGTTTTTATGCTTCAGTTTTTGTTTGGATTCCACAAACGAGATGTGTTAAATCGTATATCTTTAGAGGTTTGGGTAGACTGGTTTTGTTTCCTTCAGGCAGAGCCAGGCTAAACCAAATGATTTATTCCTCTAGAAATGTTTCTGAATCCAGATAATGTGAGCTCAGATTGTTTTGTTTTTCGGCATGCTGAATGTCTTTCTATGTATTTTCTTTCCCGTGCAGCTATCTGTCCACAAGGCTGTAGGAACGGGGGAATGTGTGTGGCTCCAGGAATCTGCAGCTGTCCGGAGGGATGGCTGGGTGGTGCCTGCCACACTGGTGAGTTCAACCTGCTCCCAAAGACCAAAAACTTCCACATGCATGAATGCATTTACAAGCCTGATTTATTTTTGCTTCCTTTCCCATCCATTCAAAGTTTTGTTCTTTATAGATTTGGTTGTGCTTTCCCAGGATCCCTGTTAACTGTCTTCAACTTTCTCTGAAGAGAAATGTTAGCTATCAGTCTGCCAAACAGCTGATAACTGTATAAGTCAAATGTGTAAATCTGCTAAGGTAACATTCCTAGCTAAGGGTTTTGCCAGATGTGACACAAACCCAGACCTGGAAATGGTTCGCACCTCAGTTTCTGGATTTGTAGTGTTGGGATTTACAAGCTCTAGTTATAAACTACGATACTTGTTTCTTAGGTTTTACAAATGATTAAACACGTTGTTTTGTTTCTTTTGTCCCTGCTAAAGCTGTGTGCACTAAGTCCTGCCTGAATGGAGGAAAGTGTATTTCTCCAGACAAATGCCGCTGCCGCCCTCCTTTCTCTGGCCCTCTCTGCGAGGAGAGGAAGAAGTACCAATAGTGCCGAGTCAAAGGTCACGGAAGCCCAAAAAGAGGCTTTATGCAAATGTCGACGATTCAATGATTTAGCTGAAACATGTAGTTTTTAAATTTTTTCTACTATATTTTGTTTGTTTTTAAGAAACCTTGAACTTTTTAGGTGTTCTCACTTGACTGTATAAACATGATATGTACTGTACTGTAGCTTGTGCCAATAAATGAATCAAAGAGATGTGCATGAATCAAGATCATTTTATCAAAACAAAAGCACATAACTTGGACATTCTTTATTTTGTCACATAACTTGTACCACAGTGTCATTTTGTCTGATATTTTTTTTATACAAAACCCTATATATATCCCCAAAACATGGTAATTACTCAGCCCCCACAAACAATATATTAATGAAAGCAAAACTGAAAAAATCATTTCAACTCACCATATCTTCAGTCTTAAACAAGTACCTGATGTGAACCTCTACATGAGCCATAATCAATAAAGCGGCATAGCATTTGAACAGTGAGAAACAAACAGTGCCGTTTGGCAAAGTTTTAATTTGGCTAAATAGTGAAACATCCAAAGCTAAAAACCTATTGGTGATAACCTACACTTTATGAATGAATTATCACGGTAACAGATTTGTCATCTACTCATTTTACATAATACTGTACAGTAACATTCACATATGTGGAAAGTCTCTGCTGATGCCTTTACCAGATGTGTGCTACTGTGAGCCTTGAGGTAGTGATATACAGAGCAGACAAGTGCAATCCATCATGTCCCCCTGTTAGCCTTCACATTTGCACAGTCACAACCATTTATGATGCCCTCCTCTTGCTTTGTGCATTGTGTAGCTCCTATCTTCCCATTTCTCCTCCATCAGGCTTGTGATGCCTGTAAAGTTGCAAACAGAAATAAATACACAATCATTAGATTTTCCATGCTATGTTTAAAGATACATCTAAGGTTTCATTTATTTGAAGCCTAAGTCCAAGTTGGTGACTTTTGTTTTTCTTGGTGTGCTGTAATAGGAAACCATAGAGCAGAGCATAAGTTTATTCTGAAAGATAACCGTTGTAAAATCTTAACAAGTGCTTCATTTTGTTTGTATACTTCAGTTTACAATGAATAACTGGTGAATATATATGTGTTTTCTTTCCCAGCAAAAACATAGTGGTATACTTCAGACTGCATTTTCAACCTGTCACAGAACACATCTGTGATGCAGTCTCTCAACCATCAGATGGCTGTCTTGAGATTTTGTATCATTGCTGGACATTTATCTTTCAGAAAAACAGTTAATTAGCTCTGTGACACAACATGGGGCTAACAAATCCCAGTGGGAATATAACCCTGGAGTTCTTATTGCTACCCAGTGGGCTACACAGAGACCCGTACTGTATAAATTAGGGATCCTTTTCTGACCTTTGTAGCACAGGTGAAGCCCTTGTAGCCTCTCCGACAGTAGCAGTAGTCAGGAAGGACACACCTGCCTCCGTTCAGGCACCGCTGCTTACAAACCGCTGAGGAGAGGATCAATGTTACAGGAGTTAACATGTGTGACACAAAAAATAATCAAAAGAATAAAGTGATCAAATACATTTGTCCGTTTATCCTGACAACAAAAAGCAAATTAGTAAAAAATAAAGTTATGGCAGGGGGCGAGTGTACGGTGTTGAATATCCTTTGTTTTATCATGAATGAACTCACGTGTCTGACACTGGAGACCTTCCCAGCCGGAGGGACAGTGGCAGGTGTTTGGTCCCAAACACTCGCCACCATTTTTACACTTTTGCAGACAGACAGCTACAGTGAGAAAAACAGAGTGAGGCTGAACTCAGTCTACAGCAGCTTCGTCATGTGGGTAGAAGATCTGACACAACTTGAACGCTTGCCTTTAACAATGACATGGATTAAAGGAACTGTAACAAATGCAGGTTAAATACATCATTTCAAGATTTCAAATATACTTTTGCTATATTTGGTGTGTATAAATAAAACATGGAGTCACTCACGTATGTTGCACCTCATCCCTGTCCACCCTGATGCACAGGAGCATGTGTTGGGTCCTACACACTTGCCTTTGTTCATGCACATTGGCTCACATACACCTGCAATACCATTTTTATACATTAGGGTGAGATATTGGGAGTGGTCTGCCAGTGACGAGTTTCACTTTAAATAAGACTTAAAACATGCCAGTTTACTCACTCCTTTGACACCTTTTTCCTGTGTAGCCTTCAGGGCATGAGCATACATTGTTCCTCATACACTGACCTCCATTCTTACAAGGTTGACTGCACACAGCTGAAAAACACAATAATATTAAACTGAAAAAATTATCCATCCTCTTCTACTGTACAAGAAGAAAGCCCCTGACCCTGTACTGTGAGGGAGTAAGGGCTGGCATGATTCAGCCAATTATAAATGTATTTTTGGTGAAAGTAAACTCAGCATTGCAACCGAGTCTCAGATCTTTTTAAAGTACAGTATGCTGTTCACTTTGCTGATACTTCTGCAAGTTTCTTTATTTATTAAATGTATTTGACTTATCACAAACTCTAAATTCAAACCCAGAAAAGAGGAAGTTCTTCATGGTTTTGCAGATTGGTTACCAACATTGTATATGTTGAGAGAAACGTGAAGCTCTTAAATTGATTAATTGACAGGTTCTGATTGGATGCAGCTGCAGGGAAACTGCATTATATCACAGGTAGACTGATAGAGTTTACATAAAAAGCCGGTATCAGCTAACTAATACATCTCTTTAACGCTGACTGTTACTGTAGTGTATTGTCTTTTCACGCAAGCTACCACCTCAAATAATCTGACCTAAATAGATACAGGATTTCTGCACACTCCTTCTCTGGGGTTGAACAGCAGAGCAGTCAGATGTGTCAGTGTGATAAATAAACATGAGTTTTACCAATTTGACACTGGGAGCCATAGAAGCCGCCGGGACAGGCACAGATGTTGGGCCTAATGCATGTTCCTCCATTCAGACAGACGGGGTTACATACAGCTGAGGAAGACACAAGGACACATTTCGATTATACAGATTTGTAGTTTAGAGTTTTTCTTAAAATGTTAAGTATACAGTAAGGCAGACAAAAAAAGCCTGTATATTTTCCTGTGTTACATCAGATGTATTGTTTTATTAAATGCAAGTAGTTTGTCTTATGATTAAATGGTGTGCCACCCAGCAAGGGAGTCTATAAATATCAAGGCTGTGTTAATTGTGAGGGAAACTTTACAATAGAAACCTCATGTAGATGCATTGTGAATATACACTTGGTGACAGATGTAACCTTGTACCTGAGTAACATGTGGGTCCGTACCAGCCTGGTTGGCATTCGCAGACATCAGGAGAAATGCACTCTCCTCCATTTTCACAGTGCCTATTACAAACCACTGAAACAGATAAATCATTATTGACAATTCTAAATGTGCAGACCACTCAAAGGTAATGACCGGAAATGAAATCACATTATTAACGCCTGCTGCTGATGTACAGGTGATCATGAGTGGTATTGTTAATCTCATCTGAATCTCCATAAGAAAGTACATTTTGATATTCCCGTTAATGTTGAAATATTCCCTCAATGATCAATGTCTCTGAAGTCAACATGACTGACTCTAAACTCAAAGTCATTGTTTCATTGCAATTCATTTGATTTACAGCAAACTAGAATTACTACCTCGTAGTTTTATGCCTATCCATGTCATAAATACCGCCACCTCATCATTTTATGCTCTTGGAAATTTGTGTGAAATTGTCCAAATTATCAGATGAATGGAGGTACGGCCAAAAAGTGTTTTGTGTGTTCTCAGTGGCCTTAACCATTTAACACCAAAATCTTTTTCAGTTCCTCCTTGGGCCAAGTGGATATTTATAACAAATGAACTGAAAAAGATTTTGGTGTTAAATGGTTAAGGCCACTGAGAACACACAAAACACTTTTTGGCCGTNATGAGAGGAAGAAATAATTAAGGGTATAGAACATAACAGCACCAAGACCAAAAAGACATTGACAACTCTAACATAAAGAATTAAACTTTCATATAAGTTTCTTTGGACATGACAATACGCTAATTACAGGTGTGAAGGATGAAGTTCTCTGCCTTAACTGGACGTCAGTCTTTTTCTAAGGAGATCAGGCAACCATCGTACGGAGGGAAGACACCTTCTAGCTAACCAAGGACTCACTGAGTGTCAGTTTATTGGAGAAGGTCACAATTATGAATTTAATACTTTACGTGCAGCCAATTCAGCAGAAAACTCCAATCATCTGACGAGTCATTTACAATTAAATGACTTCATTATGAGGGGATACCAAACTACTCTGACGTACAAACTATCTCTTACGATATTTATCATGTTTTTTAGACTGTATTATCACATGTTTACTTTTTACATGTAAGCATTGGAAAGCAGTGAATGAAAAAAAAACTCTGACAGCAAATTAACTGAGTAGACGAACAAAGAGCACTGTGGGAGAGGCATGATAAGAGGTAACGTTGCTCAGTTCAGAAGTGAATTTACTTGCCATTTAAACAGAGTAGAAAAAGAGAAGGGAGTTGGGCAGGGGGTCTTACCTGTAAAACTAAATCTGAAACCAACTCTGCTCCCTGCTCTCTTTAAATTTTTACAGACAAGTTCACAGGTCAGTCAGTTGTTTTCCACTGGGGATGGTCTATGCTCCCGTTTCTTTTTATACAGGTAAGTCAGCATAAAACAAATTATTTTAAGTGTGTTGGTGGAATACACTTTCAAAGTTACGCACTTGCAATGAAAGCTTTCAACCAATAGCTACAGTTTTTAAAAACAGTTCCAGTAAATTAGTAAAAGGCTTTTTGGACAGTGGCATACATTTTGAAGGAAATGCATGCATGTTGAAAACTATAGGTGTTTTATTATAACCTAATGAAAGTTTTTCCTAAACAGTGGCCACACCCTGCACTTTCAGGTGTTAACCGTCACGTATTGTAGCTAACTGAGCCAGACTTAGCACATTAATGTTAAGCTTGCTAATGTGTTAACTTGTTACAAACCCACAATAATACATTAAAGGGGACCTATCATATCAGTGCGAGAAAAACCACAACCCCTCTCTATTTTCCTCCCAACCCAAATCTCTAGAAAAAGGGAGCTGCAACGGATCTGATAAAAACTGATCCAGATTTGAATCACTGTCCTGACGTCAGGACGAGTGGCGCTACGGGCTATTGGGCAACTCTCCCCTATCAGGGGAATGACGAGGTGCCCGGCCGGCCATTGCCCGCCGAAAGCGCTTGAGACGCTGTAGTACATATGCCAGGCCTGAAGTGGCGCTGTAGTCTGCCACAAAAAGCAGCGAAGAAGACTTCGCCGACGCATTGGTTGCCCTTTATTCTTCGCTGTGGCTCTTTTTCTCCCTACCCCGGGCAACGCGTTTGCTCCGCTGCTGTAATCAATTGCAATCCCTCCCCGTCGAGGCAAGCACTGTAAATTCTCTCCGGTAGTCCACCAGCGATGAGCAAACACGCCACCTCTGTCACCAAAAGGAACAAGGGGGGGACCGTGCGGCAGAGTTTTCAGTTAGGTTTTCTTTCGCCGGTCAAGATGTCCGGTAAAGTTTAAATCTATTCGGACAAAATTTGATAATGTATTTTGAAAACAGAAACGATGATAAATATACCTATATATAAGGTATGGCCACTACAATATATCATTTAGGAATATAGCTATGGAATAGGTGTCCTGTTAAATACAATGGGGAGGCGATGTGGCGCAGTAGAGCCAGTGGATAGAGCCTTGGTGTTGGGATTCAGGGAAAAGTTCACAGGTTCAAACCCCACTGCAGTCAGCTGTCGTTGTGTCCCTGGGCAAAAAATAGCTTCACCCAACAAATTGCTAACAATAACTAACAAGTAAAAATAGTACTGGAATAAAAATAACAACCAAATACGAAACAAAAAAACGCTAGAATGAAATGATATCAGAAGAAAAAAGATTATGCTACAAAGGTGATAAAATAAACAGCATCATACAAGATTAAACAAATACATTGGAAAGAGATACATCGAGTCAAGCTAACATATCATCTTGTGGGTTTTTTGGATGATGCATAGATAACCCATTTAAGTCTTTTAATAGATATTAAGATATCCCCAAAGCCACAACATATTTAGACCTATTTACATACAACATTACTGTAGCTGATGGATTCGCAATTAACTGGTGCAACACAGTCCTGTGGACCATATGTGCGGCGGGAGCCTGCCTTTAATTATTTTTGATTTATGGCTCTGAGGGCCAGGGGCGTTAACCCAGTCACCCCTGCCCCCCCTTTCCCTCCCACCCCTCGAAATGTTACACCGTGTAGGAGTTAGGAGTCTGGTTCTCATAGAAAACTCCAGAGCCAGACCCATACAGCGGCAGGGGGCATTTGATAAGATTTCTGATCACCTCAAAGGTTGACTTTTTGGGTTGTTTTTAAAGATAATGACCTGATCTACGTCACACGTTCTGACACCCTGCAGCTGACAAGACAAAGTACAGCCTCTTAACTCTCAGAGGTGAGACGGGTACCTCCAGGCAGACTGTGATACAGATAAGAGGAATGCGTGCACACAGACAGCCGTGAAACCCAGACTCTCTAAAAGCCTCATCAATCCTTTCTTATCTGCACTTCACCATATCTCAGGCAGAACACTTCTACTTTATGAAACTACAGGCTCCTGCTGTGAAGGGCCATCTCAGATCGCCATGGAAATGAAAGCAGATTGGAAAACTCTGACCAGGGGTGTTATTCATTGAGTTACATCAATATAAAAAACACAGCGCCTTCCTCATGCCTGCTAAAGAAAACAGCCCAGTTCATTATTCGGCCCTCACTTTTCAGTTAATGAACTCCTCCTGGAGACTCCTCATGTTGTGGCTGTTTAAATACCTCAGTGTTATTGCCAATATCATGGGAGTCATGCTGTTTGTACCGAGAGGAGGTCAGCAGCGCCTAGCTTCATTACACAAGGTGAGTCGAATAAACAACACAGCAGTTGAGAGACCTCTCATTTAGAGTTGGAATAACATGGAGTGTTTAGGTTTCCCTGCTGATTAGATTAAGGTCCAATGTGATTCCAATCAGAACAATTAGAGTTAGTGGTAATGTGAAGTAAGAGCAGCTACATTTGGTCTCAAGGTTTACGTAAGAAGCAGAAGTTGAGATTTTGAGATCAGTACATTTAAATTGGTTGCACTACAGGATTTAGTTGAGATTCATTATTTACACCAACAAAACACTGTGAGAAAAATGTGAGATTTAACACGTGGACTGATGTGATCAAAAGGTTTCCCTTACTAAAAAAAATGCTAATTTAAACTGGGATGGAACTGAGAAGATTACAAATCATAATTGACATATACCTATATAAAACTGTAACATGTTACACCAATTCCCACTTGTTCTAAACAGCATGATTACCACTAACTCAGGAGGGAAATATTTCCTTCCTACTTTAAACACAAACACATACAAATCTAAATAACAAAGTCTATAGTGTCCATGCACTGTGAACATTTAAAGTCACATATGACCTGGGCTGCATTTCATTTCCCTCCTCCTGACTGTACCCTCTCTCATGAGGCAGACATGAAATTAAAATATCTAAATAGAGCAGACATGTGCATGACCGCCATGTGAACCCTTTCCAAAGGCTTTTTTCTTTGGTTTGGGAATTAATTTCAGGGCTGACACTGCTAAGAGGCGTTTAGGTGAATTACAGACAGTATCTGATTTGAATGTTATTATCACACAGTCTACTTGACACAAATGTCCAGTGATTTTTTTCTCACAAAAAGACATTATGATAAGGGTATCAGGCTGAAACAGATGCATTGCAACATTAAACGGAGAACAGACTATAGTGACATTTTACAACAAAAATATTCCACTGCAGATTATCATAAAATGTTGTTTTAGAGACAGAGACCGTCCCCTTAAAATACACATTGATACTACATTAAAGAATATATCCGATAATGTGTAGTTGTTGTTAGAGGAAAATCAAATTATTTTGTGTTTCTTCTTTCTTTTTTTTCTTCCTTAATTCCTCTTCAAACATTTGAATATTTCTTCTAAAGGTTGTTACTGTGTTAATGAAGTTTCTGTTCCAGCAAACTGTGTTATGTTATTCCTTTCTGTTTTTAATGACACATTGAGGAACTCTAGGATCCTAAATTGTTAAACTATTCTGGGGCCTCTCATCTGTTGACTGATGAAACTCCACTGGGCCCACTGCTCGCCATGAATTTCCCCATCAGTCAGTGTGTGAACACAAAGCTTTGGAGACCGCAGCCTAAACCCACCGTAATCCCTCATGCCCAAACAAGACCAAAGACAGATTTCACAGGCTTGTGCTTCACAATACCCAGTCTGGAGGGGACACGGCTCTTTGTGGACCACTTTTTTTGTCTGGACATGGTTGCGTTGTGGATGTTGAGTGGGTATAACTGTGTGGCCCAAGGTTCAAGGTCAAAATGGTATGAAAAAGTAATTTGCCCGTAATTTTCTGCACGCAGACAGAGAGTGAGAGGTGACCGAGCAATCATCACCTCAACAAAGAAGCTTTCACACAGGCTGAGCCCAGGAATGTCAATCCATGAACACTGTCCCCCATCCGTGATGAAAAACAATGTTGCAGCACACAAGGGATGTCTTGTAGCATTATTGTAATACAACTACATTTATCTGTGCAAATGATCAAAGTAACTGATCATTTGTGTTTGCTTGAAGGCCAAAGGGACAGTTTATCAGAAATCAGTGCAATGTGTCTATATTTATTATTATTTATCAAAATAGCCTTACAGCTAGTGTTGCACAGTTATAGCTGATTAGATTACATATCCTCTTATGACCCACTTTCACTCTGTTTTTGACACAAACCTGTTTTCTCCACTCAGTGTATCAGAGTACAAGTAAAAGGCTATAAAGTTGAACATTTGTGTGCTGACTTTTGCTACTCAAATCCCAAAAATTGAGAAAAGAAACGTAAAAGATAAAAAAAAAAAAAAGTGAACATTAAGTTAATAAATGACTGAATTTCCCGAAAGTCTTCTTGGACAGCTTAAGTAAAAGACAAAAGTTAAATAAGGACCTGAATAACGACCTATGAAACATATTAAGCAACGCAGATCATTTGGTAGTTTTAGGTGTACAGTACTTGTGGGAGAAAATGTTGTTCAGTTTTTATTTTTAGGCATGAAAATAAAATTGAGCAACACTAAGAGAAAAAAGTCCTACAGGCATCACAGCGCTTCTAACTGATGAAGGATCAGTATTCAGGTGAGAAAAAAACACCTGCCTGTTTTTCTTGTGTTCGTGTTGCCACAGCTCACTCTCTGTCTCCATGGATCCTGAGGATTAATGAAACCGGCTTCTCTTCTCTGCACCAAAGAAAACAGGAGTGCACTTCTCCAGCTCCTCAAACAGCGTCTCCCTCCTCCTCCTTTTCCCCCCTCTCCCCTTGCAGGTGGCCCCGTTTGCTACTTTGAGCGAGGCTTCAGGGCTACGGGAGGAATTCACATGTAAATAGGCCACTCGCTCTCAATAGACTGGGGGAAAAGAATGAATCCCATCATGATAACCTTGCATAATAAGCAGGCTGGGACTGTGCATATTATTGCTTTCTTCTTTTTAAGTACACATGGGATAAATCTCTAAACTCAGCAAAATACGAGAACCCTTTGGAGGTGGATTTATGGGAAAGTGAAGTTGTGCATTTTGCCACAAACATCGCTCTGACCTGGCCATGCAGATAAACAGCTTTAAATGTAAAACTTACCTAGCAACAGCATCACAACAAAACTAGCCTATTTTCATATAGACAGAAAGCTTTTGGTTTTTAAAGAATTTCTTGTGTCTGAGCATGCATCTCATATTTATTTAAGTCTTTTTCCTTGCATGGACCATTTAAATGTATCCAAATGCAATCCTAATTTTCCAGATAAATTCAGCTTTTAGTACTCAATTAAATATCTTATTGTCATCCTTTTAAAAAAACAAAACAATGAAAAGAGCTTAGTTTATCTTAAGCTTGGACACCACCGTCTAAGATTCATCAGATATGTTGTTGATGAATGCTAATTTATGCTTAAAAATTAAATTACACATTAAACTTTACTAGCCAGAACAAAATTGATTCTATTTATTTTTACAAGATAAAGATAATTAACTTGTTCAATGCCTTGTCTTGGTAAGGCTAAGGAAGATGCATAAATCCACATTGATTAACATCTACTCCACAATTAGTGGCTGTTCCCAACCTTATACAGTATGTGTGGGATTTCTTTTTTCTCATTCCTGTTATTATTTTCTTTATTTGAAAAGGCAATATTATGTACTTGGTGGTTGAAGCCCTTTCTAGGCTTGTGTGAACATGAAGTTCACCCGGTTGAATCACCAAAACATGTTTATACAAAACATTATTTTGCAATACTCGTTTCGTAATTTTCTTTTTTGGTGAGAAGCAAAAGGTACCTATACATCTGCAAGCCAAAAGTCAACTCCAATTCCCAAGAAGCATTTGAGATAGAATCCAATCCAGGTTTACAGAATGGGTCAAAATGTTAGTTGAATTTGTGTGGTGTTTTGTCCTCAATTGAAACAAAGCTTTCTGAATCTGCTCTTATTAAAAGTGCTGAGGCAGTAATGGCTAAATATCATGGGTATTGTAGAATGTACAGCCATCTGCCAAATATCATTTCCTTAAAAGGTGGGTTTAAATAATTATAATGGATGAAGACAACATTATATAGAAGTATACTTGAGTGTCCATCATAACTCTTTTCTATTTTTGAGTGTTTCCAGGGTGTGACTGTTGAGGAACACGGAGGATGTCATTAAAATAAGAACTTTGACGTGGAATTTACAGAGTAGGAAATCTTCTTGGAATCAGCAGCTACTCCTCGTCATCCAATCCGTCATTGCTTCACACACGTCTTCACAAAACACAAACACTTTTGAACATTGTGTACAGTATTCATCAGCTGTGTGCGGCCCAACCTGTAAAACTAAGTGCCAAACTCGATCAGGCCCTAGGCGTATCTGCAGTACAGCATGCTATCATAGCAATAATGAGAGATAATTCCTTCATGGATGAGCTACTCTAAAGAAGCCCAAGAAGACACTTCAGTGTGCTTTTACTTCTTGTCAGTCGGAGACTTTCGTGCCAAGCACCCCATCCGAGGTAAATGGGTTAATGCATTGACCTTGGACACAAGATTTATTCCCCCTAATCCACCTCTCACTAAAGACATTACCAGAACATGGATAAAGGCTGAGATAAAGGATGGGACTGAAGAAAAATGTGAAAAGTTATTAAATGATGCGGTAAAGTAATTGTTTTAAGTTTTAATCTCTGTATGTGGTTTTAGACATATTAAACTGAGTCAGCAAAAGACAGGTAAAAGGCTTTTTGCTTTACCAAGCCAATAACCAACGGAAATCCTCTGGTGAGTGTTTCAGCAGATCAAAAATAATTGCCCTAAAGTAAATACAAGGCAAAGCAGGACAGGACATGTTCATTGATTTACAAACACACTAAAGGCTGACGTGGCTTTTAGAGATAAGGAAATAGTATCAGGAAAAGTGTGAACGCGCCTTTGACCTTTGAGTTTCCTTCCTTCGAAAACAAGTTAAGAAGAGGCACCTTTCTCATAAAAAAACATGATTCATAAACTTGAGAAAAAAGGGGCATTCTGGGAATCGACACTATAATCAAAGGTTCAGGAATAAAAATGTTTTGTAATGCTTTTAACTGTATGATTACGGCGTAAAAAGCCACACAAAAAGATGTTTGAAAACGAGAGCTAAGGATATGTAGTTTCTATTTTCAAATGCAATAGACCCCCAGAGATACAGCACCAAAACCTCAAATCAAGGCCATAATTATCACATTTAACTGGAACAGATATTTATATGGTGAGGATGTTTGGCCATTCAGCCTGTGAGCAGTGCAAATCTGAATCACAGTTATGTTTGAAAGCCAGCTGCTGCAGGGGCCTGTCGGGCTTCACAGTCATTAATTGTTTCAAAGGAATGGGAGAGCAAATGGCGTTAAAACACTGAGCTACGTATCCACCCAGCTTAGTCCAAAAATACTCTGTAATGCCCCTGGCTTCAGTGTCCTGCCCCAGCCAGTTGCACTGGGTCTGGTCTCCAGACCGCCCTGGCAACATTTCCAAGTCCTGATTCTGTATGTGATGAATCCATCGCTTAACCCTTTACACTGCAGCAACCGATGGTGGAAGGACTCGCTTTTTTACTGTGAAGAGCTTTGGGTCGTTTTTAAGTATTTGTATGGCTGACAGCAGCAGTGTAACATCTGTGTACATGTTTCTCATTACACAACATGCAAGTTGTTCCAGTTTAGTGTGTATTTTTTGTGAGAAATAAAGCTACGGTAAATGAATGTCAACGTTTCCATTACTGACACTACAGCTCTTCACACCAGACATAAATCATTTACATGGACCTTCAGGTTGTGGGTGTGTATCTGTGTGAACATGAGCGAGCATGTTGCTTTAAAATGAAACTGAGGACATTTTAAGGATAGGTTGACTGAGCATGTTTTTTTTTCTCTGTAACCCTTTGCATTACATACACGGGTGACAGCACAACGTTTAATGTTAGCTATACAGCAGCTCCACTGGGGACACTGCTGGCTTCGTGCCTTTTTTTAAAGGGCACATTGACATCTTTGAGTACCTCCTTTTTAAACTCATAAACAACAAAGTTGACATAATAACAGCCTCCATACCGCCACATTGCTCTAAATGCTTTATTAAGCAAAACATAATGCACAACTTGTCTAATGACAATGTGGTCAAATTGGACCAACTACAGTAGCATCTGTATTTTTTTTGTTTTAACACAATATGCTGTATTTAAAAACTGTAAACTTCATATGAAGTAGAAATCTAAAGTGCTTATAAAAAATGATATAAGACAGCAAGCAAGTCGATAATAATGCAATAATGCACGATAATACTTTTCTTTCACAAAGAAAGTCCAGTGTAAGAATAATAAGATATAATAATTACATATTAAACGGTGAAATAAAACACTTTTCAATATTTACAAAAAAAAACCTTCAACTTGTCAAAGCCTTTTCCCAAAGTATTTTTGGTGATATTGTTTAGAACAGCCATTTCTGAAACATACAGCATCCTTTAATTCTATCGCCCTTCCAGACCCCGAACCCTTAGTGCGTTTAAATCCATATAAACCTTGTATATCATATCCACACATGTCTGAAACTTTCTCATCTTCATACTGTATTCCTTTAAGTGTCACTTCCTGACCAACCGCATCATCACAAGACCAAGACCGGCAGTCATAAATCTTTTCTTCACTGATAAAACTCAGCACTTTGAATCTGGACCTGCAGCAGATGCCTCGATCCACCCAGGACAATATCCTTCACATATAAGAGCAGTCGAGTCACATGTTTGTCTTTCAGAACCAGTCTATCTCTTTTTCCTCTGCTGCCGCTGCACCTTTCTCCTTTTAAGGATCATGTCATAGAGTCTATCCAAGCCCTCCCTTAGTCCATCGCCTATGATCGCGCAGGTTGGCTGCAGGTGCCAGGGAGTTGCAGGGCCCAGTTCTTTCAGAGCCAGTAATTTCTCAATTTCAGCAAGTCCCAAAGAGTGTCTCAAGTCCTGTTTGTTGGCTACCACCAGCAGGGGCACCCCCTGGTTTTCAGAGGTCTTGGCGATTTTATGGAGCTCCGTTTTGGCCTCCTCCATGCGCTCCGCATCTACAGAGTCCACCACGAATATGATGCCGTCCGTGCATCGCGTGTACGACTTCCACAGGGGGCGTAGCTTCTCCTGGCCACCTACATCCCAGAAGTGGAACGTTACAGACCTGTGGCCGCCCAGAGACACTCTCACCTTCTCCGCATTAAAACCTTTGGTGGGCACCGTGTTCACAAACTCATTGAACTGCAGTCTGTACAGAACGGTGGTCTTGCCTGCAGAGTCCAGGCCAAGGATGGCGATGTGAAACGACTGGAAGAATGAGACGTTTGAGACGAAGCTAGGTTGTTCAGACAATCCATTCCCCATCTTTCCTCATGAGGGAGGATTGGTGGTTTGGGAGATTTGATCCTATTCCAGTCCAGCAAAAATCCTCTGAGCTGCTGATATTCCAAAAAGGCTCCAGCAATTACCTGAAAGCAAACTGCAAGTGTTATTGTGGGTGAAACAGAAGTAGCAATTAAAGCAAGACTATGTTACTTTGACTGTGGCCAACAGTTGCAATTACAGGATAATGGAAGATCACATTTCCCTACATGCACTTGTGTCTTTTGCTTTATCATTGGGTAAACATGACCACACGTAAGAGAAGAGTCATAAAGTCAACAAACTTAGAAATGAAAGTTACAAAACAACATCTATCTAAACTTTGCAAAGATAAGCCACCATCAAATTATGTTAATACTAGATCAAGTAGGACTGTCGCAGCATTAGTGTAGAGGGAGATTATTTTAAATAATCAATGGCTCAAATCCCTGTGAATAACTTGATAGTGTCTTTATTACTTGCAAAGCAAAATGAGCATTAAAATCATCATGACAGTAATATCTTAGTGTTTTTTTTTTATGAACATGATAACATTTGAAATCTGGTGAAGTTCAATCAGATTTCACCCGCAGTTTTCTTGTTTTTGCTTTGAGAAAGGGGACATATGAGGAACAAAACAAATGGGCATATTCATTTTCCATGTCACTCAGTCAAAGTCCACAATCCACAGTTGTGCGTCACCTAACATCCTCAATGACAAGGAAAGACTTTTGAGCAATAAGCAATATAGTCTGATAACACAAAGTCATATATGCTACACAGCTGTATTAGAGCCAAATAATTAGCCAATGTACCATGGCAGAAAATGACATTTACTTAAATGTCACACAATGAGGAGTTAACAGCCACCATACATCGAAAATAACTTCTTTATATTCAATGTAACATTCCTACAGTAACCCTGTTTGCTAGTGTTGCAGTGTGTTACTGTCCTTTTAGTATACAACTACATCCCTCATTATATTTTAAAATAGGGCTTATTTTCCAGTCAATCTGTATTTTACCCATATGAGGTAAGAGTACATCTACAGAGGATTCACACGACAGGTGAGCAAAGGCATTTCAATGTACATTCCACATTGTGCTACCTCTCAATCTGAGCCATCTGTAGAGAAAACACAATACACCTAATACTTTCTGAACAGAAACGCAGTCCTTTATCGTGTAAACACACCAAAATTCAACTCACAGTGTATTTACGCCTTGTATGTCGGCCACAACGACAGCAAATCCTTCCTCTGAAGCGGACACAACCCTCCCTGTCTGTCCTCTGTGTCCCAGTGTGAATCCAACGCTGATGACACTGCTGTCAGTCTGGATAAACGCACACACTGCGGGTGCTTTCTATTGGTGCGTTTACTAGATTCTCCGACAGGTGATTGGCTAAAACGGCTGTCAATCACATGTCTAGCCCGGGAACTAGGATCACCTGTTGCTCTGTCTGTCCGTCACACTACTTTACTTTTGACATGAATAATTTATCGTTATTGATCCAAGATAAATGTGGTAAGGGAACCCAATATTTTTTAAATCGATGTTCTTTGTTAAAAACGACTGGAGAGGCAACAAAGGTACATTGCATTTAAAAGTTGAGAATGCAAATGCTATAAAAAGGCACTTTTTACGTTGATCAGTAATGCATTGTATCACCAAATGTCCAATACAGTTGATCTGACAAAAGATGTCGTCCAAGAGCCCTGAAAACACTTCTAAATACCAGCCATTTTACAAGCTTGATCCTTCACAACATTCACGGTATTTCTAGCCCACATTCAACCACACACGGACATTCAACTAGCATAGAAACACCACGGTATGCTAGTGGATAAGCTATCTTAATAGCCACACCAGAATAGCCGTTAAAATTAAAACGTACCGTAGGTTCAGCGTGTCGAGTCAGCGTGTTTTCCCTTTTCTGTCCGTTTTTGTGTAGAGAGAGTGCAGTGCAATGTGTGCGTGTGTGTGTGTGTGTGTGGCTGCAGAAACAGCGCCGCCCCATGCATGTTTTTGTTTAAAATGATTGGTCAGAAAAGCAGGAAAAGCACCACGCTACTCCGACCCATCATGCATGAAGGAATGGATAACAAACACCAGAGGCTTACATAACCTGTCTCTGTTTTTAAGCTCTTGTGTAGCCTTTTTTTTTATTGCAAATTGTTTATTTTCACGCAGAAATAAGTACTTTAACAAGAACATGGTCCTGTTGTGGAAGAAACTACTCTTTTAATAGTCAGAATACAACAGTGTAGACATACAAACAAGTTAAATTAATACATTTCTTAAGTTAAAAAGTATTAGCACTAAAATATATTAGAGTACAACCCACAACTTATTATTCAGAATGTATATATGGTCCAAGTATAATGAGTATTATTTATTATTTTAATTATTGATTAATTAATGCATTCATTACGGTATTACGGTATTTTTGTTTCTAAGCTAATTAAACATGTTAAAAATTGTCAATTTTAAGTCATACTGACCACTCTTAAAATCTTACATATAATGGAAAATGACAATTAAGAGCTGAAACCTTTCAGATTTTGTTTAGGGTTTATTACATTGTTTTGTTTGCTTTTTCTTAAGTAGTTAAGTGCTAATTTCCTGAAGCTTACTTTATAAGAGGATTTAACAGACTCGGATTAAGTTTATTGTTTTTCAAGGATTTTTCTTAACTTTACTATCTGTGTTTTCCTTTTAAAGATTGTTCACAACTGCCAAGACACGTTTGAACGTTTGAACCTATGATTTGAACACAACAGCTCTGGTAAGTATCTTTATTTGCCATGCATGAGATGGAAGATTACATTACATTTTTCAGCATTTGACTGGATAACAGGGGATTAAAATAACACAAACACACGGCTGCGTGTGGGTCATGAGGTTTAATGCAGTGACTGATATTCTTTTCATTTTATATTTAGTCTGCGAGTTATGCCCAGAGTCACGGATTACTCCTTGAACGCATCTGTTCAGCTATTTCAGATATGCTTCGAACATGTGCAGGCTTGGCGTGTTTATAATTCTTGGGGAACCGGGTGAGCAGCTGTCCGTGGTCAGTGGGCGTCTTAAATGTGGTTTTATGACCTTTATGACCCCCAAAGTCCCTGCATGTTGACAGCCAGAACCTTAAAGCTACTAGAATCTCCAAATATGTCCCTATTTGATCATCATCAGGGATATGTACATATACATTTAATTTTTAAATAAGCAAAAAATACAAAGTTAGGATCTATTTTTCCATGATCTTGAGAGTTTCTCTTCCACACGGTCCAAGAATGCACTGTACGCTCCTCTTCTGCATCTGTGTCTCTGTAAAACAAATATTCAACGTCAGTATTAAAACAGGCGAAGCCCCAAACTGTCTAAATTGCACTTAATAATAAATATTACAATTATATTTAAATAATACAGGCAGCTTCAGTCAGGAGATCTAAATTAACAGGGTGTGTTTCCGCTTTCTACATTAAGCACCAGATACCACATGCTTTTTTGGTAGGAGTAATCAGTAGGTTAAATGTAAGTAGAGCTTTTATTTTATTTTCTATACCACATTATAAGAGTAATCCATTACAAGAAAACCAACTAACTGACACAATTAGACAGTATTTTTATATGATGCCAAAACACCACTGACAGTATAGGAAGCTGATTTTGGAGGCCAGAGCAGCGGAGGGAGTATGAGCCTCGCATCCCATCTTGGCTCGGCAGCTCTATATGTGTCCATCCCTTTCTTGGAATCCCTTGAAGTTAAGTCTGACCTGGTGGTAGTGTTTTGAACTTGAAAAATGTAATATATTCATTCATTCAGAACAGCACACATGGAAACATTGAATACCATATTCTTAGACTTAGATTGATCGGAACACTCGAAAAATAACAAAACATGAAGTTAATCCACTCACTAATGTCCAAGTGCTTCAACTTCAAATGCAGGTTACCAGGATCTCTTTCGTATGTAGTAACTATGTCTGGAAGGTCCTCATTGAGCTGAAATCAAAGTTGTTTTATTTACTTCCTTTTGTGTTTAGCGCCATCTTGTGGACAAATCAAACACTACACATGCTGTATTCTCAAAAGTAAGAGTATGACCCTGCCTGCTTTTTTCGATTCATCCTATGTGTTCCTCACAAATATGAACATTTAAATGTACACGAGAAACTTACAGAAGAAGTTATAAAACGTATTATTGTTTGCAGACACTTACCGGTCTGAAGTTATGTGGTTTTGGGTTCTTGTAAGGCCCACAAAGGTACTTCCCAGTCTTGACAAACATCAGCTCGGACTCAAGAGAATCGGGAGGCCTGTATGATGTGAGGAACTTTGGAGACTCTTCTCTTCGGAAACCCTCATGTAAAACCCTTGGTAGAAATGTTCCAGTTTTCCTCTGTGCTTTACTTGAAGGTGCCACTGCTGCATTTGAATGTGTCTTTCTTTCTTCCTTCTGAGGAACTGACAGAGACCTGTACAGTTTAAGAGAGAAATCTGGTGGTTTGATGCTCCACACGTCGCTGTGGCTCTCAGTCTCGGGGTCGGGGAGTTGAAACCATTTGCTCCTTGCATAAGAGAGATGCTGAGTAGCAGAGAATTCCATTTTTTCTTCCAAGCACACTTTGGACATCAGATGCAATAAACTGTATGGAGCCATGATTGTTGATTAACAAAGGTATTTGCTTACCTTGAATTCGCTACAGATATCCCTTGATTTGTCTTAGTTTGAATCCAGTTTGAGCTTGTATTGTTAGGATGTCAGGAACACAGTGAAAGGAGCAGACAGTGCAGTACAAGGGTTGATTACAGGCACAACATATAAAAAGTGCTGCTTGGTAACGAGTGTCTTTAGTCTTCTTAACAAAAAGTGGGCTGAGCTCAGTGGGACAATAAAACAAAAACGTAGCAACTGTCCAAACAAAGGCCCTCCGTATAGAAGAAATCATGGCATCTTCTGTATTTATAATCGTTCTTTCAGGCTTGACAAAATAAATCTTTAAATTTAGTTTCACTTTTACACATTAAGAAAATTATTTAAACAAATGCAGGACAATATAAAAAGATACTTACATCGTTTTAAAAAATAAAAACAAAGCAAGACATGGAAAGATATTGAGAAAAAAGAGAGTAGTAAAGGGGCAATGTGAATATACACACAATTAAATCATTTAAAACAAACAGACAAACGAGTAGATAAAAGTCAAGATAAACAAATATAAAAGCTATAGAAGTACCTCAAACTGTCCTGAAGTACATTCATTGTGTAGGTGCCCACAGAAAAAAGTGTGTATTCATTTGCCATTTTGGGATCCTTCCATTAGATGGCAGCATATCCTTCATTTGGTTGCAGTCAGAGTAAAGCTCATGCATTGGAAGTATAAAGAGATACCTTGAATTATTTATGGCAATTATTTATTTATGACAATGGTATTGTCCTTTTCTAAACTGTAGTTGTACAATTCCGACTGAGGCAGAGAATGTAAAGCACTGTAAACTAGGATAGAATTAATGAGATAATGGTTTGAGATAAACTGCCCTTGTTAACTTTACCAACATCATAAGTGCTTACAGTTAGCAAAGTGCAGCGGCGGGCCAGGACTTGGCGTGTAGAGATGATGGTTCTTCCAGACTCAGGGAGCGTAACGCTGATGTCTATAATCATACATTTCTACTGACTGAACCTCAATAAAGGACAGGGACAAAGTCTGGAAAGGAGCTTAGCTTGTATTGCCTCATAAATAGCCAAATATAAATATACGGTAAAACATTACCGTGCAGCACACTATATATCTAACTTTTTTACCTTCATTCTTTCACATGGTCCTTTGTTGAAGCAACCTTACCTTCTATGATGGATTTAAAATATGTTAGACATGCCTCTTCTTTACATTTCTCTGGATGCTATAAATTATTATTATTATCCCGTTATGTATACATCACTGTGATCTTTATCAAACAGCTGTGTTTTTAACATTTTCATCAAGTTTAAAGCTGTATTCATCAATATTTGTATATTAACTAAATTAATGAATACCTTTGATGGGGAAGTATTGTCTTCCAAAATCAGCAATAACTTATCAAATCTAATCTATGTCTTGATCATTTTTTACAGCAAATTGTTTTGGTGTTTCTCAGTCTGTAACATTATGTTTTGATTTCCTCTCAGTGCTCTCATCAGCATCCTTTCGAGTTGTTTATCTGCCTCCAATTGGACACAATAAATAAATACTTCTTTAAATGAAGGTCACAGAAAAACGGACGAGGCAAGTAAAATAGAAAGATAAATCAGCCTCAGCAATAGTAGTCTATGGTTGTGGATAAGTTTGGAATTATTACACAAAAATAACGTTATACTGTATGGAGTAAAAATATTTTAATGCAAGTTTTTGATTGCTCTATACCTAAAGTACAAAGTTTAAGCTGCTTTTAGCTTTTTTTAAAAATCATTTTAAGGCAACATATTTCCCTTGAGGAGTCATTGTAAACGTGGTCTTAGCTCCTGTATTGGTCCAAAAGTGTTATGATTATGGAAGAAAAACGGTTACATCAGAGGTCTGTGTTTCACCAGAGCCAGACAGACAGTGAGCAGAGCAGCTCCCCTCATGTAAACACGGTTCTGTACGAAGCAGAGTTTTCCCAGACAGTTGTTGCAGCAGTCCCTTTGTGTATCGACTCTGACAGCTGACACACGGGGGCAAAGGCAACAGGAAACCTGAGCTGAGAGCAAACAGCGCCTGTGAAGGAGCTGACCCCTCCAGCCCTGTTAAACCAGGAGCTGCCACCTTCAGGGGCTCCTCTCGACCCCCGGCCCTTCAGCTCCGTGTCTGAAAATCTCCTACCATTGTATCCAGTGACATTTACAGCCACTGCAGTCAGGTCTCGGCTGTAACAATTACAGGAGCCTTTTGTCAGACGTGACAGGCTGAGTGGTTTCAAAGACGTCTCCATCATGTCGCTCTGACAACTTGATGGAGCCTAATTGCATTGTTGTTGGAGAAAAAGGAACAAGAGAAATCATGCTGTGACACACAGAAGCTTTTTAAAAGATGGTTATGTAATTGCTGAATAAATTAGAAACAAGCTGAAACAGATAATGCACGACTGTGCTGAGGAAACCATCTTTCTGCTTCTCTATGATGTTGTGTCAGGACCTCCATCTGTTTTTACTGTTGTTGAGCACTGTCACTGAGGCAAGAGAGGATTTTCTCTTTCTACCATCACTGCCCATTTCCTCAGATCAGAGGCTCCTTTTCCCTTTCATATTTGCTTTCATTTCGGGTCAGGCAGAGAAGAAGCTACACTGTAAATCAAGGAAATGTGATAAACCAGGAAATATCATAAGTGTTGATAAATCACTTATTTTCACGTGTCATTTAATGATGAAGAATCTTCCTTTTCTTCTATTTTTTCCTTCTTCATCCGCTTCAGCTTCTACTGATTTATTTTCAGATCAGGTTCGTTTTTTTCAAAACCATAACAAAATCTTGCAAAATAACAATAACAGAAGTCATTATACAGTATGTCTAGTTTTGGTTAGAATTTAGCTGTAGTTCAATTTGTTGAAAATAGTACTTTTGACAGAATTTAAAGGCACTGAAAACATATTTTCTCAATCATGAAAACAGTTTTGGTTTCACGTGATAGCTTTCTTTGCTGCCCTCACTTCCCTCACAAGTTTAAATTGGGAAGAATATTTGAAAAGATAATATATTTTGGTGTACTAATCAGAGTGTCGCAACAATCCAATAACAGTTTGTTTGCATTGACAGTTGTGTCTGACTCTGGTAGGATTAGGGGATGTGTTATTGCATCATGGAGTGTACTGGGTCGGGGCATGTGGAGGGAGTCTGGAGGCTGCATGTCGGTGGTAAAAGCAGGAATAGCTTGTGTCATGACCCAGCTGCTCTCAGGTCACACTTGTCCTCTAAAGTATCTAAACACAAAGCAGCTCCTTCTCGCGGGCACAAAACAAACCCACACTGAGCAGTTCTTACGTGTGATTTGCTCTTCACAGGAAGAAAGTATAATTAAATACATACTGTATATGTTTTTTTAAATACTGCACAATTCTGAGGTACTGTTACTTGTTACTAGTTTCTTTCATTATTTGCCCCTAGGAGTTTGGAGAAGTTTGAACCCACGTCCAAATAATAAAGAGCTTCAATGTTCTCCATCATACGCCCTGAATAATTTACATGAGCCTTTAATGGCGCTTTCCACCCTGTTTGATGCCATAACATCATGTGTGCGTTGGCCAAGACACAAGCATAGGAATGATTACATGTAGACGTCCAAATCTTCTCCACATGGACTCAACAAAGGTAGTAGCCTAGCCTACCGCCGCACAGAGCCTTAACCCAAAACAAAAAGCACTTTTACCTTTAACTGAAAACAGTGAACGTTATTCTTATTTTTACATGCAGATGATGGAGCGAGAAACAACAGTGAGGAAGACAACAAGGTCAAATTGGTAAAGTGTGTACATGTTGAGATACATATCTGGCATTTCGTTTTGGACCGGGGTTTTAGGGCTGATTGATCTGTACTTAAATAATGTTCTTGTGCTTTTCTGCTCCTTATGCACTTTAAAGTTGTACAAACAGTTGTCTTGTCAGTAGCGGAGGTTAGGGTAATTGCATAGAGTTTGCATTTCCTGCATCATTTAGCTGATATCACATTTCCCAGGGGACACTGCAGTGCTGCCATTACTCCCACGACGCATAACTGATTATAATGAGAGAAAATTGCACAAAATGAGCTCATGTGTAGATTATAGAATCAAACAAGCCAATCATCCCCATTTAGTCACCACTTTTCTTTGCTCCCTGGATGTAACTTGAAAGCTACAAACTCATTCATGCCATGTACTGTTTATATGGTCACTTGACATAGATGTTTTCCATATGGGAGATTGAATTGCCGGTTGTGTAAGAGGATGCATGAGCAGACGGGAAGAAATTGGGTTTCTACCTGATGGCTATTCCAGGCTCTGAGCAGGTTGATGGTCCAGGAGATTTACGAGGGAGGGGTTATATCTCTCCTCGTGTGGGAGTCCGACAGACGAGCGTCTCACAAAGACATTCAGGCACCTCCATGTTGAGAGAAGACTGTCTACGACCTGCACAGCTGTCAGCTTACCACTGGTCCTCTGCAGACCTGCAGGAAGGACTGTCCGAAGGGTTAGTCATCGTTAATCACAGATTATTGTCTTACTGACTTTATTGAAAGTCAACAGTTCACTTAAATATTCCTCCTGCTTGTTATTGGCAACAATCACCAGTCTAGGTTTTAAAGAAAGGTTTCACTTCAGCAGAATTGTTCTCTCTACTTTAGAGTTAGTTTCTCGGTTTGAACAAGCTAAATATTTTAATATCTTGATAAATGTTTAATAATTTCACTCTCTTTACAGGCAAAATTATGGTGCTGGTACCGGCCTATGAATACAAAATATATTCTTTCCCCATCTTTGGCTCTGGGAAATGTTGGTGGGCATATTTTCATTATTATCTCAATTTAAAAAGCAAAATGAGTAACCACAAGATAATAATAAGCAAATCAAATGTTTAGTATTAGCCCTAAATTGCTCTGTGAAGATATTTGAGACAACATCTGGATAGCTGTTTATATTTGACTGTATTCTCACAGTGATTTGAAGACTGCATCTCATCAATCATTTTAGCTTTTATATTAGCATAACTGACCCAAATAACCCATTGTACACCGTATTCTTGGCTTATTCTGCTACTCTTATTCAATAGTTTTCAACAGGACGATCCGCTCCAGCTCCTCTGGTACTTCCAGTGAAACTATATATGTGAGTAGCCTGGATGAGTAAAACCGTGAGAAGGGAAACGAGCTGTTTGGAAAGAACCCGACTGTGATATCTGGCTTATCCAAAATCCCACTTGTTGGCTGAAGCTGTTTCCCTGAAAAATGTAGCATGTGGCCCATCTGTTTAAGTGGTTTGGAGTGTTGACTTGTAAAATATAACTCCATGATTGGACCATCAGTCTGCTTTCGCCCTTCTTTAAACATTGAGTAAACATTGCAACATGCAGATCATTTTACAGGCTTACTGTAAGTTGATGCAGATAATTGATTTTGTACAAGCTTTGAATAACAGAGCACCCAGTGATGAGTGTGGAAGTTGTCCATAATGTTTGAATAGTTAACGCTTGACCCTGGTTTGTCCCTTTTGATTATAATAAAAGTATAATTGAACCTTTGAGCTGTGCCGTTATGTCGTTTTTCTGTGCATGCTTTTTGACCTTTCACCTTTTTCAATGAACATCCTGTCCTTTATATTTAAGCTTTTACTTTATGTCAAAGCGTTTTACAGGGAATCCAGAATTCAACAGCACATTTTGAATCGCACCAATTGTTGTATTGAGTGGCTTTGTATTATAGTACTGCATCATACAATATAAGGATATCTATTTGTATAGGTAAAAAGCACTCATTATTCAAAGTATTATACAAATGAAATGCGGTCAGAATACAATATATCCCTGGGAAAACAACTGAAGTAGCCTATCAAAAACATACAATGGAAAGTCAGTATAAGTATGTCAACTTGCTAAAAAATATATAGGTATTGTAAATATTGGCTACTCACTCCCAGCTCTGGGTGAAAGAGATGTTCATTTTTCTCAGATCAACAAACAGATCTATACATATTTAGCTTTTTTAATTAAACCGATTAAACATTGTGATCTTTGAGAATAAGAGCTGCATCTTCATTGTGCTGTGACCCGTGCTGCTCAGCGGCAGATGTGTGCAGCTGTGTGGATGTTGGGGCACGCGGTTGATGCCCCTCCTAACGTGTGATGCTGCAGCCCGGCGCCTCTGATCAGCCTACAGCTTCTCCGATCACTCCCACCAACAGTGGCTTCAGCAAACATCAAGTTCCCCCGGAGTTCCTCCTGCTTCGCTTGTTTCTGACCGGATAACATCGGCTGCGCTCGGAGGGTTGGAGCTGTTTAGTTAGAAGATTGCGCGCTGGTCGCATCATGACGATGGGACTTGAAACCGTTTCCAAACTTCTTACGTGGGTTGTGTTTTTACTTCCTAACGCAATGCACGCACAAACAGGTAAGCGACCACCTCCAAGTAATTCAAAGATGTAATTTTAAACCGCGGTAAAGGAGTTGCGCAATCACTATTTCCAGAAATGTTATGGACATACAATTTGTTAAACTACTCTCTGCCGTTTCCCTCGGTAATTAAAACAATTCACACCAAAAGTGGGATTACAAATCGGATTAAATTACTGTATACCAAGGAGTTTAAAGTACTGAGCTTCCTCTTTGATTTGTTGTGTCCATTTGCCAAATAGAGGCTGACACCTTCTCATCCATCATGTCATCCAAGGCCACATACCTCAAAGTCTCATGGCCACAGTGTAAGGTATTGTGCTGTCATTGGAAACAGAGGGTCGCCACTCACTGACAGGTAGACAGGATGTGAACTCTCACAGTTCCTGTACAGCTGATCAGGACTGAGGCCACCAGGTGTTGAGAAGGAGTTCTCTCCATTGACAGCCTTCACAACTCCTGTGGTGTCATTCAGTGGCTCGTCTGCCTGTCACTCAGCACTGAGGCAGACTCAGTCAAAGTCACCATTAACTTGATCTCTGAGGCAACACAACTTATTAAAAGTTGGCTGATATTTCTGGGTCACAGCTTGGATATGTTTCTTGCTCTTTGCTCTGGCAAGCTAAAACTACTGTGTTATGTCAGAGGTTGCCTTGGCATGTTCCTCGACAAAGATGTTCAGGTTTTATTTTATTGGCTGCTCTATCCCAAACAGCTTAAACTGTTTGCTTTAGAGACATTAACCTGCTGACCTCAGTTCAACCTTTAGGAATTCCTTTCACTCCATTAAAGCTTTGAAAAATATGTCTATCATTTTGATTTGATTTTTCTGTGTAAAACACATTACTTTAGAGTTATTCAAACAAAAAGTTTCCCTCCTGATTTAAATTAATTTGACCTCAAATTGACAAGTTAAAGTCTTCGCAACATTCCTATGACTAGCTTTAGAACGTTTCCAGCACATTTTTACCACAACCTGATGAATACAAAGTGCCTTCTCCCCCTTATATTACAACTCATGTGCAACCATATCTTAAACATCAGCAGTCACATCCTGCTGGGAACGACCGGCTGGCTCCCTTGTGCTGCTGTTTAAGGTTATGTTATTATATTATTAAGGCTCTGGTTATCATAATAGTTTAAAGAGCAGAGAGAAGATGGGGGGATTTATATGTTGTAGTTAAAACCAGTGGACAGCAGTTTTAATACCTCAAAACCTTACCTTGACGTCCATTAGTAGACTCACAGGTTTATTGATATACTTAATGCCAATAAGTGGTTCCAAATTCAAGCAACAAGGTGTTGAGAATGAAGTCTGTCTATCGGCAGCTTTGACAGCTCCTGTGGTCTCTCTCAGTACCTTGTCTGCCTGTCACTGGCAGACTCAGGCAGACTATCACCTTTCACTTAAACTCTCAGGGCCCGAAAACGTGGTGCGGTGCACAGAAGCTCGCTGTACTTGTTAGTTACAGCTCGGCTCTTTGTCTTCCTCTCTGCTTTCATCTTAATGGCCATTTGCTTTTACGACGGCTTTGAACCTATAACTATAAAACTAACTATAACTATAAATGTTACATATTTGATGGTCTTTTTCATATTTGCTACATTTTTCTCTCCTTTTTCAGTGAACGTATCCATAACCTGATCTGATAATATCATGCATTCCACATTTCTCATGTCAGTGCATTTTATGGTCTGTGTGTAAGCTTTTCAATTCAAGATTTGTATCTTGAACACAGAGGAACTGGGCAGTGGCTTTGGGTTTCCACACTTCACTATTTGTTCTGTAGAAAGCTGTACATATATTGGTACAATATATTGGTAGTGCTTACTGTATTCTGTCTCTCTACCTGGACTTGCAGAGCTTCCTCCGGAGTGTGTGTCCGGGGGCCACTCCATCCTCCAGGACCCCTACCGCAGCACCACCTTCAGCTCCAGCTGGGTGCAGCAGTCGGCCCTGCAGGAGTTCATCTGCGACCACTCCCTCTCTCCGGGCTGGTACCAGTTTCAGATCTTTGATAAGCCAGCCAGCATGCCCACCGAGTGTGTGGAGGTAAATTATTTACATACACCGATTTAATTAAGTTTAATTCACCGTAAAACATCCCTTGGTTTTCATTCATGTATTATATTATACAAATTAAACAGCAAAGCTCTAACTACATGTTGGGCTGGTTGGTGGATTTAAGAAAATTGAACAGAGCCAAACAAGCTGTGTTCTGCCTTTATGCTAAGCTAATCGTACCTTTAGTTGGCTTTAGCATCATATTTAGCATACAGATATCAAAGTAGTATTGATCTTCTCATCTAACTGTCAAAGCCCTGAACCAGTGAATTTCCAAATATCTCTTGACATGTATTCTGCTGTTCTCTACATCTGCAGGATTTGCTGGACTGAAACTTCAGCAGTCATTTTGCTTTGTTTGTAGTTTCACCTCATCAATCGTGGGCTTAAGATACTTAGTCAGGGACTCCAAACTGTCAAACTTTGATCTACAATTTCACCTCTCTAACCCTTCAGCTGCTTTAGCTCATCATCTGCAGCGAAGATGTGGTGATTGTGACATACAAAAGGTATATTTTATGTTGACCAGCTGCAAAGCATTTCCTTACAAATGGGTTTAAAGAGAGGGTTTTCTGTCTTGCAAAGACAATATAGTCCGTTCGCTCTGATTTGTGGGACTTTCTTTTGCAGACATATTGTGTAAAATCGCACTAAATCAATTGCAAGTCAGACTCCAGGAATCCAAGTTTTTCTTAACCAACTTTGACCTCAGTAAAGGTCACACAATTCTCATGACCCCCGCATTTTGATTTAATTAAGTCAATAACTTTGGTGTTCTCTTTTTTAGGGAAGCATGTGGTGAACGAGGGCTGATATATTCCAAATGTTTGATTTAGCTTTGTTAATTCAAACATCAATTACTTCAGAATCTCTAACTCCCAATCTGTGATCTCATGTATGGAAACTCTCTGTCCTCTCCTCAGACTTTGTGTCAAAAATGTACTTGTTCGTGTTTGCGTGCATGAATACAAATGCATTTGAGGACACACACATGTATGTTTGTTTGTTTGTGAGTACACATTTTTGAAGGACAGTGCAAGGAGAGCTGGAATGTGTCTCAACCTGCGGGAGTCCAGCTGTGATGAGCCTGCAAAATCCATCCAAAGTGTCAGCTTCCCTCTGCCTTCCCAGGCATCACTGCTCACCCTGGGTGATGGATAGACTCAGGAGTGGGTGAAGCAGGGGAGAGAGGATCGCTGTGGACATGTGTGACATTATAACCACCTTTGGTCCAACATGCAAAGACTACACCTTTTCCATTTGTCCTTATTATTCTAAGAACACTAAAAGCTTTAATTAATATGCCCCATGTTCTCATCTCTATCTCTTTCTGAACATCCAGGTGAACCACTGTGGGACTCAGGCTCCTGTGTGGCTGTCCCTGGCTGAAGGTGAGGCCCTGCCGGGGCCCCTGGAGGTGAGGCAGCTGATGGCCTGCGCTGCCTGGCAGCTTTTCCCAGGCACCGGCAAAGACTGCTGCATGTTCCGCATCCCGGTCACCGTGCGCAACTGTGGAGACTTCTATGTTTACCTGCTACAGCCAACGCAGGGATGCATGGCATACTGCGCTCAGGGTATGTCCGGACAAATAGTCCATTATTTTCTCATTATTTTCTCTTAGAGCGATAGTGTTTACAAGCTGTTTCAAGAATGAACCTCTCATTTTTGCACCCTTACACACTTCTGTGCTGTCAGACGGTTTGTCAGGTTAAGTTTGGTATAAAGAGAGAAGTTTGTAAAATACATGGAACTGCTCATAACAAGGTCTGTGGATTACCTTGAGTAACAATGTCATCATTTCTTGGAAAGAGACATTGGTGTCAAGTTTTTCAAATGTATTTCCTGGGTGCTTTGGGCTCCATGAACCAACTTTCATCTAGTTCCATTATATCAGAGAGAGGGCAGAGATCTCAACTAGCACTAGAAAATAAACAATTTGTTTCATGTTATGATGAGGTTGTGTTACTATCATTCGAACATGATACCATAGTGCCACCATAGGCAGGAAACAACATTATCCTCAACATTATCCTCTTGAGAATAAGACAAGATTAATCAGAGTAAGGCTTAAACTTGGTTTTGAGGATATACATCAAGACTTTTCAGACAAAAGAATCCTAGAGTCACTGCTCTTCAAAGAAGAAGAATCTGTTATGTTATTAATGTTGATTAATACATGTAACTGATGGTGTTATTGCTTTCCTATTTATCTAACAGAGATGTCGGACACTTCACCCGCAGCGTCGCCGAGCTGTGGCCCTGACGAGGTTCACGTTGATGGAACATGTAAAAGTGAGAATCCTGCTGCTGTGTTTATGGCTTACGCTTGTCTCCTCGTGTTAGGTCAAACACCAAAACAATCAGGAGGTCAGGGAGTTGCCATGCGGTCAGGAATGCACTGGCGGCCCCTCACCGCTCCTCTTAATGAGCTGAGCATGTGTCCCGGCGTCCGCTGGGCCTCGTCTCCATGGCGACAGCCCTCAGACAGGTTGTGAATCACGCCAAGGCAGGTTTTAGGAAGCTGGCAGAGGTGGAAAGGAGAAGGGAGGTTTATTCAAGAGATGAATGAAATGTCACTGTACGTTATAAGATTCAATAACTTGTTTCATACATAATAACCCAGTTTTCTATGATTTCTTAGCTCTCTTTCTAGATTTAAATTCAGACAGCAGCGTTTTCTGAATATGATTTGTATAAAACTGCTCACCTTTATGAATTCATGTTCCTCAGCTTAAGCTATTGTCCTCTACTTACAGGTTTGCTGGGTAAAACCTGGGTCAACAACACTGTGTAACTCAAAAATACATAAACACATTAATGAAATACTTTAGACAAAGTTCTCTCATACAGTACCATGGCTATTAACATGTTGCTAAAACAGCCTCCACACTTCTGTGAAGACCTTCCTCAAGATATCTGACTCTGAATGGTGTTGAGGTCAGGGATCTCTGCAAAAAACATTACTTTGTTTAACTGGCTTTAGTGCACAATGTTGTGTTTCAACAGGGAAAAAGCCTTTCAGTTGCCACGAGGTATAACCTTAATTAGAAGTCAACTTAAACCACGTAAAACAGCTCCAACTTGCATGAATAAGCCTTATGCAGACAGGGTGTCCACATACTGTTGGCCTTATAGCTAAACCAGTAGTAAGGTTGGAAAGGCATCCTGTGGGTGAACATACCCTTTTATAAGGAGCCTTGATCTTTGGTTGACATAGGAGTATATACATTTACTACACAATGTGTACAGTACAGTATATAGGCCTTGATTTCTTAATTAGGGCTGTATTGGCTTCCTTTTCCACCTCTGTTGTGAGAGAAATCTGTGCATATGTATACTTTAAGCTAAAACATATGGTCCACTGACTCATCCACCTACTCTTTGTTCTTTCTCCATCAGCAAAGCAGCCTCCCACTCCATCAGCACCAGTGGTTGTCTCAGAGGTGACAGGAAAGTCGGTGTTCCTGAAGTGCAGCTTTGGCAGCAGCTCCAACAGCTCCCTGGGATACGTGGTGGCCTGGTCCCGCCTCTCACCTGAGGGCAGGAAGGAGGAGCTCAAACAGGAGACCACCCTCCAGACCTTCGCCTTTATCGAGCTGGACGGCTTCAACCTCCGTCTGGGGGACAAGGTCTGGTGCAGAAGCTCAATGTGTTTCACTTGTAGTTTTAAAAGTGGACTAAAAGTTGTTTCCAAAAAAATCAAGCCCATTTATTTTGCAAAATACATGAAAAGTAATAAACAGTGCAGTTTCAGGAAAAGTAACACATATACATCAGAATGTTTATAGACATCATTCAATAATAAACAAAGGCTATTAAAGCTAATACTTAACCTTTACTCCTGAAATGGTCCTGACTCTTTTCATCATAGGATTACAACAATTAGGAAATAGGAATAATCAAGGACTGTCTTCCCTTTTATTTGCTGCATGGTTACTTCCACTTTCTCTTTCCCTCTCTATTTCGCTCGCTATCTTTCTACCCCTATCCCTGTCTCTGTTTTCCCCCCTTTAAAATGGAGGCATAATTGTTTTGATTTAAAAAACGTATCAAATCCTCTCCCTCTCTTAGATCTACTGCTCGAGCTCCAGTTTCTTCTTGGACTCGCCTAACATCCGTGGTGCTTCAGTGGAAAGTCTGGAGTTCTTTGCCGGGATTAGGGTATATCACAGTAATCTCAAATTGTCTATGTGTGGTGCCTCTTGATGAACAGTATTGACCACGACATTATCTTTGCAGTATAGAGAGATACATCTGTGCACTTGTTTGTTTTTGCATACGTGTTTGTGTGTTTTAATGATATTCCTGTTCAAACCTGCCTAAATCCTCTCCCTCTGAATGTAATGTGTTTGTGATTCACATTGTTTAAGAGGGCTGATCAGTTTAATACCTGTTTTGTGCAGCTGAGACCAGAGGTGAGCAGTGTGTCTGAGGACGGGAGGCTGTATGAGCTGCTGGTGGAGAGCACAGTTCCTGTCCCGTGTCTGGAGGAGTCGTCCTCCTCTGCAGAGCCGTGCACTCTGTCTTTACAGCTCAGCACCAGCAGCAAAGGTGAGAACTCAGAGCAAGATAACAATCATAGAGTTTATTTTTCCATTTTCTGTTATACCATCATGAAAATAACTACTATATTTCCCCCTGTTTTGTTACAGATGACGGTTTGTTGGGTGCAGATCTGTCTCTCTCATCCTGTATGGTGCATCTGTCCCGGGGCCCCTGTACAGACGGGGTTTGCAGCCGAGCACTGATCCACTTCAGCCCCGTCACTGACTTTCATAAAGACAGCAACAGGACGACTCAGATCTCTGTTGAATCTATCGTCACACAGAATTCTCTGTGGAATGGATACTCACCTGAACCAGTTGAGGTAAACAGATGATGTTGTCCCGGTGGAATTTGAACACATGTTATTAAACTTTGGATTTGTATTCATATAAAAGAAAAAATGTATTTGTCATTCCAGATAACTGTGAAGGATGTCCCTTCAGCGTTCTGCTACTCCTTCACTGATCCTCACATTATCACATTTGATGGCAGGTACATCAGTCTCTTGTTAGGTTAAAAAGGAAATTGATTTAATCTGTATTCTAAACTGTTCCACATACAATTCAACAGATTGAGTTTTAAATTGTCAATAGTGAATGCACTGTACCACAATAATATCTAAGGGTCAATACAAATTAGGGGTCATCCATTTTGTGAATATCTTTCTTGTTTTACAGGCCCTATGAGAACTACCAAGTCGGCACTTTTGTCCTCTATAAGAGCACTTTGAGGCCCTTTGAGGTCCATGTTCGTCAGTGGGAGTGTGGCAGTGTGGTGCACGCCACCTCGTGTGTGTGTGGATTCGTGGTGCGGGACGGCGGCGATGTCATCGCTTTTGACATGTGCAACGGAGAAATGGGTGAAACCAAACCTCACCTGTCGGTGAAGAACAGAGACCTGACCAAGAGCGGCATTCGCATTACAGAGTCCTACCAGGGCCGCAAAGTCACGGTGAGGACCAGTCAGACACTGAATATAATGAATGTTAAACAGCCTCTGCAAAACTACAGAGCACTACCAGCTATTTGTTTATTGAGGTTTATCTATTCACAAAAAGCCATCAAAAATCTGACAAACTCATCCAAAATCTAGCTGGATCTTTCGTTTTGGAGAAATCGCATGCGCTCTGTCTTCATTTGATTGTCCTGAATCTTTACCTGTTCGCAGATCACCTTCTCGTCAGGAGCGTTTGTTCGTGCAGACGTCTCAGACTGGGGGATGAGTCTCACGCTGAGAGCTCCCAGTTCAGACCGGGGCCACACTGAGGGTCTGTGTGGGACCTACAACGGCCAGCCAGCCGACGACCTCCACTCAGCAGGAGGCGCCATACTGGAGCATCTGCCTGCTTTTATCTCAGAATGGAGGTCAGTAATTTGAACAGTGAAGTATGGGTCAGCTTACACAAAAGCTTTGACAGTTGATGCTAGGAGCAATTCTTCCAAGAATGCCGCTGGCATGTTAAAGGACAGAATGGAGAGATAGGAGGTCATTTAAGGTCATTCATATATGAATGTAAATTACTATTTATTTTTAGGTAGAAAAATATATTGCAAATTCTTGAGGGATTGTTTGTAATGTTTGCGTTTGGTTTAAGGTTGTTAATAGGATGACTATCTTGTTTCTTCGTACTTGAATTTGGATTCAGAAGTCTGGAAACTATTGTGAAGTATTAGCTCTTGAGCTAAACACATATTTTTGCTAACTAACTTTTCAGGATGCCCTTTAAAATAGTCATACTGGTGCCTTCTACAAAGCTTTGTTCTAGCATACATCATCTCGAAAAAAGACCTAGCATTATGGTTTCTGTAACCAAAAACCAGGGGCCACAAAGTTTCAATTTGGGTCATAAATGGAATACTTGTACATTTCTTAGAGAGTCTGCCCTTTTCATCACAATATCAACCATGGTAGCACAGGGCCTCTTACTGTATATCAATCAGAGAGCCTCCTGTCAAACCCTGTTTCATCCTTCCTGACGTCTCCTCCTTCCCTCTGTCAGGCTTCCCCCTGGCAGTAGCCTGTTTGACACCGTGCCATCCCATCTGAGCACACCGAGCCCCCGCAAGTACTGTAACTGCCAGTCGGGGCCCCGCCTCACATCTTCCAGAGCCCGATCTCGATCAGTCACCTCCACCGACTCCCTCTGCTCTCATCACGGCAACGTGAACCTTCAAAGTGTCATCCCCACTCTGGACGTCACAGCCGAGTACATCAGCTCGGTGGAACTACTCAAAGGCGGAGGAAGCGACAGACAGCCGCTGCCTCCAGGTCAATCCAGTCAAACCCCCCAGGACAGAGGCAGTAACTCTCAGCCACGTGAGAGAAGTTTCTCCCTGCGAGCCTCCAGAGATGGAGCTTCGATCCAGCGTTACATTTCTAACTCTTCTCACCAAAGTCTCAGCCAGTCTGATCTGGAGGGCTTCTCCTACTTTTTCCCAGAGGACCACGAAGCAGCAGCTCAAACAGACTCTCCTCTAACGTGGCCCTCACCTTCTGGCCTGACGGAGCAGCAGGCCAGGACTCAGTGTCAGCAGGTGGTGGCCGGCTCCAGCATAGCGTTGGGATGCGGCCGCCTGTTAGAAGAGGCAATAATAAGCCGCGTGGAGGCCATGTGTGTTACTGACCTACAGCTGAAAGATGACCAGTCATGGCTGAATGCTACTTTACCACTGTTGGAAAATGAGTGTGAGAGAAGGCTGATAGAGGAGAGGAGGAGAGAAGAAGGGTTCCAGGATGTTCTGGCTGTCCTCAAATGTCCCAATCTGTGCAACGGGAACGGCCAGTGCTCAGAGTGGGGTTGTGTCTGCTTCCCAGGATTTGGATCATATGACTGCAGTGTGCTGTCTGGTAAAAATACTACTCATACACTGACACACTGGTTCTAGAGAGGTACAGTTACAAGAGGGATTTAAGTTGGACACATTTAGTTTCTACTGGATTGGAGCGCTTAAAATATCTATAACAAAACTTAGTTACAGCTCACCTCAATTTAAATAAATAAAAGAAAACTACTTTAAATTGAGCTACACCCTCACCAAAAGAACATTTTAAGGCATCGCTATGTCATATATCCTAACTGTAATACATGTATCAGTTACTTGAAGACATCTATGTTTTTTTACAGAACAACTGTATTAATAATAATAATACATTTTATTTCTAAGCGCTTTTTCATGTGCTCAAAGACGCTTTACAGTGCAAGATATATGGGTTGCGATGTTCAATACATTCTCATGTCTAACAGTTTATGCACTTTTTGTTGTTGATATTGTGAAGACCAGATCCCAGAGATCACTGAGCTGGAGAAGGAGGGTCTCTGTGACGTGCGACAGGGAGACTGCTCCACCATCCAGGTCTACGGTCAAGGCTTCAAGGACTCCTACGAGCTCAAGTGTGAGTTTGTTAAAGAAAAGGTACACAGCTTTTCAGCCTCTTTTTCCATTCTTTTTTCCATCCTTGTTTACACATTGTCTTTGCTATGCAATCATCCTCTTGTCTGAACATATTTTTAAAGCTTCAAGTTATACAGTATTTTCTTTTTTCGACACATGGAAGAACAATTGAGAGAAATTCAGTTTGCATGTGTTATTGATTCTGATTAATGCTTACAATGTTTGTTTTTTTACAAATAAGGAGTCCAATCCAGAGAGTGGGGGAAGTGTTTTTATCAGACTACTTTGTTTGGCACATTTATGCAACTTTATTTGGTCTTTTCTTCATGCATTTAATACTTAAAAGAATATCCCTTAAATGTAAAAATACAAGCTATTTGGATATAACTCCAGTTCACCTGCTTACACAGCACAAAATATCTGGCAGTTAACATGGGGATATAAGCATGACACGGACTGAGGCTGTTATATACATCTAGTGATGTAGTGGGGATGGTACTGCGTGGAAATTCTTCACTATGCAATACAATAAATCCAAATTGTTGACGTATCTTCACAGGCTGCTAACCCCTTGCATCAAGTATAAACCATTTCAGCCTTCATGCCCTTTTATCAATTCCCTATTCTGATCCTGTCATCTCATTACTTTTGCATCTCTTATCACTCTCTCCCTCTGTGTCTCCTGTGAAGTTTGAAGATTGGGAGTGGGTTCTGGACGAGCCCCAGTTAGTCCCAGCCGTTTTTCTGGATACGACAGCTCTGGAGTGCAAGCTCCCCCTAGAGGACAGCCGGGGTCCTGCAGGCCTGGACCTGGAAACCGCATCACACAGACCCCTGGCCCGCTTGCAGATCAAAGTTAGTCATGTCTGTAATGCACAGCACAGCCTCAAGCACTTTTCAAAACCTCAGAATTAGCATCAAACTTAAGTCATACAGATGAGAAGGTTTGCTGGAGGTCTTCTCCAGCTCTGACATGATTTAGGAGGAAAATATTTAGATTAATTGATTATTTACTCAATATGAGAATAATTTTACAGCAGTAAGAACATGTAAACATTTTTGGTAACATTTATCACTAAGAAGGATCTCCCTAAAATCAAATCAAGAAAAAAAAAATCAAAGAGACATTTTTCACAGACTTTAAAGAACTGTATTGAAATATATGAGCAGTAAAACATTACTAACTGTGAGCAAAAACAGTTAATCTCTCTACAGTTCAGTTTATTTGTTTAATGCCTTTTCCCAGTGATCCACAGTAATCACGCTTCTGCTGATGGCAGGTTTCCAATGATGGCTACAGCTACAGTAACGCCAAGATTCTGACTCTGTATGATGGAGCCTGCCAGATCTGCAGCCTCGACACTGAAGTCCTCTGCACCCTGAGGGTAAGACAGCCTTCCTAAAAAGTATTATTAATTTAATACATAGAGCCAATCTGAGCCTCTGCCAACAAGCCATTCAAATACATTTGTGTCCTGCAGTTTACTTTTACAGATCTATGTTTTCTTCTAAATTTTAACAAAATACTTGTACAATGGTTAGCAAGTATTTTACAGAAATGCCTTATTATTCTGCTGCCATGTTATGCACATACGTACATATACAGTACCTATGTAGCTCACTGTAGTAGGTCTTGGTTGAGTGATATATTTTAATGTTTCAAAGAATAATAAACACTGAACACAATTTTTATTTATTGTCCCTGCCTCCCAGGAGAAAAGGTGCAACATTGAAGGCCTGTGTTACAGTGAGGGAGACTCCAATCCCAGCAGCCCTTGCCTCACATGTCGCCCGGACTCGTCCAAACACACATGGTCCATAGCAGAGAGTATGTATATCGTTTCTCATCTGGTCCCTCTCACAGCTCAAGAAGTCTAGAATATAATGTATATTTTAAGATGAAAAAGTTTGTGATGTGTCACTTCCTCAGTAGAGTTGAGGTTGGATAGCCATCACTGAGTTTTGTAGCTTGTATTTGCTCAGGGCTGTTGTGATCATCTGTCAGCAGCTCTGTGCAGATTGGAGCCATTGAAGTTGCTTTAGTCCCCCGGGCGCTGATATGAGGACAGCTTTACCTCATTGTTACACTTTCAGACCAACTTTGCTACTTTCACCTCAAGTAGGTCAAACAGTGCTCACTCCGTTCAGAAGAATTGACAGAATATGTAGAAGTTAAATCACTAATCTGTATCACAATGATAGAACGACACAGTGGGGATTATTGATAAGGATGATTCCAATGTTACTCCCTTTACACACCTGTAAAGTGTAGTGACTGAATCACTGCAGTATTGCTCCGCGATTGCATTGACAACATCTGTCCACAAATACATACACAGAATCAAAAGATAAAAACAATCGCAGCTGCTAATATTTCCCTGGCCGATGTATATGTTTAAGCTTTGTCTGAAGGTATAGACTTCACTGAATCCCACATTTTCAAGCTGTTTGTCACCCAGCACATAAATTGTGTTTCCCATCAGAGAACGAGCCTCCAGTGCTCCAGTCGTTGCCGTTTCATCTCCGATCCTTCCTGGGGGGGGATTTCATCTATCAGCTACAAGCTCGGGACCCTGAGGGCTCAGCGGTGCGCTTCACCCTGGAATCGGGCCCTGAAGGGTCATCTCTGTCTCCTGATGGGCTGGTGAGGTGGAGGACTGAAACTACAGACACACACACTCTCCAGTTTACAGTGACGGACGACTGCGACACTGAGACCAGAGCCTCCATACAGGTGATGTTTGTGTTTCTTTTCATTGTGTGACCTAAACATGTCTTACTTGATGAGTTCAAGTAGCGTACATTTGGACTGGATTTATGAGTCATGATTTAAATAAAATTCTCTGTTTGAATTATGTTTTATCTTCTGTTCTGGGGATGAATACAAAAGGAAAGATGTGGATGCTGTTTTTTCATTTGTTTTTATTATTTTATTATTTTGTTATTTTGTAATGTGTCTTTTGCAAATGTAAATTTATTTTCTTTTAATAAGGACTTAAAAAAAATACCTTTGGTCCATTAAATGAATAGATGATCCTTTAGTACAGTCAAATGTAACTTCTTCTAAGCAGATTTATTACGGTCTATACTACGCAAGGGTTGAGAGTAAGTCATTTTACACAGGTATGTGAATTCTTGGGAGTCCAAAAAAGTAACCCTTGTAGTCCAGAGCATTTGGCTCTCAATAGACAATTACTTGTAGCTTCCTCCACTAGAGGGAGCTGATGAAATGTATTTCTCTGCTCATGGCCCTTCTTTGTTTTGACAACTTAATAACTCAGTTTAAGCAGGCTTTGTGCTTAAGTAACAAAAACAAGTAAGATGTGAAAAACATTTAAAAATCTTTTTAATGTTTTATTTGTTTCATGTTAATGGGTATTGTTGTCCCACAATGCAATGCATACAGGCAATGAAAGAGCTGCTCACAGCTCCAAATGCAATTTAAGATTGGACAGAAAAGCACGAGAAACAATATTAACTCTTGAGAAAATGTGATCTTCTCTGTTGTAGAGATAGTATATGGTTTACTTAGAATAGCTTTTTCATTTTTATATTTACCCACATTTTCACCAAAGGGATATTTTTTCTTCATCTCTGTATGTGTTCATCGCTGTATGTGTTCATCGATTTTCCCTTCTTTAGTGTATTTGATTTCAGTCACTAGACAACAAGTGTTTTTTTTCTTGCATGTGTTACGATTTCCTCATGAGGGGTTGTTGTTCTTACAGTAGATTACAGACATGTTTATTTGTCCTCTTTCCTTCAGGTGTTTGTGCACTCCTGTGAATGTCTAAATGGAGCTTCCTGTGTGACCAACACCAACCTTCCTGCAGGCAGCGGGGAATACCTGTGTGTGTGTCTTGATGGATTTAAAGGTGAAAGGTGTGAGGTGGACGTTGACGACTGTAAACCCAACCCTTGTCGACTTGGCCGCTGCATTGACGGCTCCAACTCCTTTTCCTGCATCTGCCCTGCTGGAATGACAGGTAGGGATTACACTGCAGAGCTTTTAACGTCACGTATACAGTAACATTGATGGTTAACTAAGAAATTGGTTTAAGTATGGGCTGCATGGAGCCAGTTAGATACGGATACTGAGAGCCAAACGTTAAGCTTCTGTACTTTTATCATGTTCAGGGTCAGTGTAGTAACAAGGTAATTTATTAGCCCTTCATTTAAGGAAATCTATCCCAATTTCTTCTCTTCTTTTTAAGTAATGTTATAATGTTTCAAATACATATTGACTGGTGTTTTTCTCTGCTTTCAGGCCATACATGTAGAGAAGATACAGATGAGTGCGTCTCACAGCCTTGTTTCCCTGGAGTGGGCTGTAACAACACGCTGGGCTCCTTCTTCTGTGGAGTGTGTCCACAAGGATACAGTGGTGACGGGAACATCTGCACACGTAAGTCTTCTAGCTTAAATGGAGGTTATTTAGTAGAATAAAATCATGGTTTGTTTTCATGCGTTTAAGAGCAAGAAAACGTAAAAGTTCTACTCCTGTCTTATTCTTTCTTTTGATTCATGCACATTTTTTTGTCGGCTTGAAGGCTGTTTTCATCCTTTTTGTTTCCAAGGAAACCAAGACTCTCCTCTCAAAGCATTGATGACACCAGCCAGAGTACTGAAGGTTTCATCGAGGCCCAAATCCTCGAGCCCGTCGCCCTGCTCCAGAAGGCCATGTCACCCCGGGGTTCAGTGTTTCCAGAGAACCCACGTCTCAGCGGGCTTTATCTGTGGACCGTGTCCTGCAGGTCTCCATGGAAATGGACGCACGTGCAAAGCTACAGGTAAGAGGGGAGTCATTATTACATTAAAAAAAACTTGAAACTGCGGCTTGTAAAATAAAAATGGTGATGACCGTGTATGCTCTGGGGTTTGGAATTGAACAGAAGGCTTTATTAAAAATATTTTTGGAAAATCCACAAGCAAGTTTGAAACACATTTGTTGTTTATCATATGTATGTATCATTATATCTATATGTATCAATTTATGATATACAATAGTTTCCGTATATATATGAATTTACATGACACTTATTTCTATGTGTAGGAGTGAAGGCTAATGGTATGCATAAAACCGGAAGAGCAACTAAAGGTTGAGAAAATTGGTTATTTTAGTTCCTCAAATTATTAATAATTTTTAAGGATAAGTAACAAAATTGAAAAAAGTCAAACAAAAGCTTTATTATGAATACTATGAACAGAAAGGAACGACATTGCTTTCCTTAAAATGGGGTAGTTTGGATGAATTGGATCTGTTGAACACCCTTCTGATTTTACAAAATGGCACGATCCAATGTTCTAATGTTGACAAACCGAGGCTAAATCTTTGTTAGATTTTTAAGTCATATCCTCTAACTCCCAGTATTTTACAGGGCAGGGGACAATCACCAGGGGAGGAGATGTTCATTTTCAAATCGTCAAATCAAATTCCAGCAAGGAAACAACTCCCACCTCCTCCTCTTCATCGTCCCCCGCCTCGCCCAGAAGACCCCCTGACAACCGGAGACCAGAGGCCACCATGTCTAGTGTCAGGAGAGGTTATGTTGATGACAGAAAGACCAACCTCACCACTGTGCTGAAAGTGGAGTCTCCATCTCTCCATGTGACCTGTGCTGACTCTCCCTGCTCCCCCGGTGTTCCCTGTGAGCCCACTCTCACCGGATCCTTCAAGTGCGGCCGCTGCCCGTACGGCTACACCGGAGATGGAATCATATGTAAAGGTACCGACTGGCAACGTGAACATTTCATTTTGTGTTTGTGACTATGATGTATGAACATACTTGTGCAAGTTGCCACTATTGAGAAAAGGTTGTGGGTTTAAATTATCGAAGAAGAATTACATAAGCCCTCAATCTGCTTTTTTTTGTTCGACCAACATTTAAAAGTGCCCACATTTATTCTAGCCACCATTGTTTGGGATTTATTTTACAGGACACATTATCTAAAGAGGCGACTAGTTGTTTCAGTCTAACTTCTTAGTGCATTAGAGTGGCATGTTTTCCCATCATATGTGCATTTCTACAAGTATCCGTGTCATTTGATTTCAGCTGTTTGCAGGTACCAGTGTGGGAGGAACATGGCGTGCACTCTGCCCAACACCTGCACCTGCATGGAAGGCTACACTGGATACAACTGCCATATTGGTAAGATTATGTTTATTATTGTGCTGGAAACAAATCTATCAGTGTCAATAAATGGCGATATACCGGCGGCATTATCCCGCTTCATTTGCATATATTTTTTTATGTTTGTAGAGGAAGAGCCGTGAATGTGATTACTGTAGCATTGGGAATGAATTACGATATATTTATTGCCTTTTCACTGTGTTGCTAAATGTGTCACTAGTAGTGGATAAGGCCCTGAGGACAAAGTAAAGCGATCTGATTGTTCCACTTCCAGTATCACTCTTGTTGGCACCTCGGCAACTTACAGTGTTATGATAGCTAAACCTTGGAGCACTCTGCATGCTGTCATGGCACATTACTGTTAAATCACCTCTGAGGACTTGGCTCATTTATCTGTGTCTAATTTTGTTGCCACTCAGCCGTGTGTCGACCTGACTGCAAAAACCAGGGGAGGTGTGTGAATCCTAATGTGTGTGAATGTCCTGCGGGCTACAGCGGGCCCACCTGTGAGGAAGGTAACCTGAGCTCATATTCACACCTGTCTAACATGCTGACACGCACAGAATACTGATGTGAGTCCTTGTGTTGTTTCATGTCGGTGTGTGTAGCAAGCTGTGAGCCACCTTGTCAACATGGAGGCACATGTCTGGCCAGAAACCTGTGTACCTGCCCCTATGGATATGTGGGACCCAGATGTGAAATCAGTGAGTTGTTATCATAACAATTTGACTGGGTGAAACATTTTGTGATGTGCAAACAGTTTGTATTAAAGTTGTAGTCTCTGAGATTTACGGCGCTGTCTGTAAGTAGTCAATTGCATTTTTGTATCCCTCAGTGCCTGGACGGAGGCATTATGTTTTCAGTCTGTCCACTTACCTGATTCAGTTAGTCCCATTTTCATTATTGCCATATCTCAGGACAAGTGAGGCAATGTCTTCACATTTGTTATAAATATCCACTTGGCCCAAGGAGGAACTGAAAAAGATTTTGGTGTTAAATGGTTAAGGCCACTGAGAACACACAAAACACTTTTTGGCCGTACCTCCATTCATCTGATAATTTGGACAATTTCACACAAATTTCCAAGAGCATAAAATGATGAGGTGGTGGTATTTATGACATGGATAGGCATACAACTATAGGTTACTTACGTAACCCCAGTTCTCAGAGTAACATGAAGTGAGATGTCTCACTATGGGATGCGCCTCATCGCGGAGCAAACAGAAGCATCAATCTCATTACGCCAATCCTGATTGGCTGGTGATCTTGACGTCAGCGTCAGGGAATCCACCCCCTATAAGTAGCTTGCGCTACGCCGCATGCGTCATTCAAAATAAGCACCTCTTCTCGCTTCACCATAGCAAGGAGGGCCGTCTGGTGAG